CACTTCTTTTTTTTTATTGTGGTAAAAAACACATTACATAAAATTTACCATTGTAACCATTTTTTAAGTATACAGTTCAGTAGTGTAAATAAATGAATGAATGAATATTTTATTTACATTGTTGTGAAACAGATCTTTGGGACTTTTTCATCTTGCAAATCTGAAACTTTATACCTATTAAACGACTCCCCTTTCCTCCATTCCCAGCCCCTGGTAACTACCATTCTACTTTCTGTTTTTATGAATTTGACTACTTTAGACCCTCATATAAATGTAATCATACAGTATTTGTCTTTTTGTGACTGGCTTATATGACTTAGCATAATGTCCTTAAGGCTCATCCATATTATAGCATGTGATAGGATTTCTTTCCTTTTTAAGGCTGAGTAATATTAATATTCCATTATATGTATATACTGAATTTTGTTTATCCATTCATCTGTAGATGGCCATTTGGGTTGCTTCCACCTGTTGAGTATTGTGAATTAGTGCTTCAATGAACATGAATGTGCAAATATCTCTTCAAGACCCTGCTTTCATTTCTTTTGGATATCTACCTAGAAGTGGGATTGCTAGATCATATGGTAGTTTTAATACTTTGAGGAACCTCCATACTGTTTTCCATAGCAGTTGCACCATTTTACCATCCTACCAACAGTGCACAAGGGTTCCAGTTTCTCACATCCTCGCCAACACTTGTTATTTTCTGTTTTTTTGATAGTAGCCATCCTAATGGATGTGAGGTGATATCTCATTGGGGTTTTGGTTTTCATTTTCCTAATGATTAGTGATGTTGAGCATCTTTTCATATGCTTGTTGGCTATTTATAGGTCATCTTCAAAGAAATGTCTATTCAAGTCCTTTACCCATTTTTTAATTGGATTATTTGCTTTTTGGTGCTCTTTTTGTATTTTCAGATTATTTTCTCTGTGGTTTATTTTGGATAGTCTATTGTTATGCTTTCAGATTTAGTTCTGCAACGTTTAAACTGCTGGTAATCCCATCTAGTGTATTTTTTTTTATAAAGACTTTATTTTTATAGAGCAGTTTTAGGGTAACAGGAAAATTGAGAGGAAGGTACAGCAATTTCCCCTATACTCCCTGCCCCCCAACATTCAGAGCCTCCTCCATTATCAACATCCCTCACCAGTGTGGTACATTTGTTACAAATGATGAACCTACATTGACACATCATTATCACCCAAAGTCCATAGTTTACATTAGGGTTCACTCTTGGTGTTGTACATTTATGGGTTTGGACAAATGTAAAATGACATGTAACCATCATTATAGTGTCGTACAGAATAGTTTTACTGCCCTAAAAGTTCTCTGTGCTCTGCCTATTCATCCCTCTTCCAACTCTTACACAACTTCTGGCAACCACTGATCTTTGCACTGTCTCCATTGTTTTGTTGTTTCCAGAATATCATATAGTTGGAATCATACAGTATGTAGCCTTTTCAGATTGGCTTCTTTCACTAGTAATATGTATTTAAGTTCCTCCATGTCTCTTTATGGCTTGATAGCTCATTTCTTTTTAGGACTGAATAATATTCCCTTGTCTGAATGTACCACAGTTTATTTATCCATTCACCTGATATCTTGGTTTCTTCCAAGATTTGGCAATTATGAATAAAGCTATTATGAACATCCATGTGCCGGTTTTGTATGGATATAAGTTTTCAGCTCCTTTGGGTAAATATCAAGTAGCATGATTGCTGGATCATATGGCAAGAGTATATTTAGTAAAGTGGCTGTACCATTTTGCCTTCCTACCAGCCATGAATGAGAGTTTTTGTTGCTCCACATCCTTGCCAGAATTTGGTATTGTCAGTGTTCCAGATTTTGGCCATTCTAATAGGTATGCAGTGGTATCTCATTGTTGTTTTAATTTGCATTTTCCTGATGACATATGATGTGGAGCATCTTTTCATATACTTATTTGCCATCTGTATTCTTTCTTTGATGAGGTGTCTGTGCAGGTCTTTGGCCCATTTTAAAATCGGATATGTTTTCTTATTGTTGAGTTTCAAGAGTTCTTTTTATATTTTGGATAACAGTCCTTAATCAGATGTGTCTTTTGCCAGTATTTTGTCTCAGTCTATGGCTTGTCTTCTCATTCTTTTGACAGTGTCTTTTGCAGAGCAGAAGTTTCTGATTTTAATGGAGTCCAGTTTATCAATTGTTTCTTTTATGGATCGTGCCTGTGGTGGTGTATCTAAAAAGTCATCACCGTACCCAAGATCATCTAAATTTTCTGCTAAGTTATCTTCTAGGAGTTTTATAGTTTTGTGTTTTACATTTAGTTCCATAACCCATTTTGAGTTAATTTTTGTGAGAGGTATAAAGTCTATGTCTAGATTCATTTTTGTGCACATGAATGTTCACGTGTCCCTGCATCATTTGTTGAAAAGATTATCTTTGCTCCATTGTACTGCCTTTGTTCCTTTGTCAAAGATGTATTAACTTTATTTTGGCCGGTCCCATGGCTTAGCGGTTAAGTGCGCACGTTCCGCTGCTGGCGGCCCGGGTTCGGCTCCTGGGCACACACCGGCCCACTGCGTCTCCGGCCATGCTGAGGCCGCATCCCACATACAGCAACTAGAAGACTGTGCAACTATGACATACAACTATCTACTGGGGCTTTGGGGGAAAAAATAAATAAATAAAATCTTTAAAAAATATATATATATTAACTTTATTTATATGGGTCTATTTCTGGGCTCTCTGTTCTGTCCCATTGTTTTGTTTGTCTGTATTTTCACCAATACCGTACTGCTTGATTACTGTAGCTTTGTAGTAAGTCTTGAAGTTGAGTAGTGTCTGTCCTCCAACTTTGTTCCTCTCCTTCAATATTGTGTTGGCTACTCTGGGACTTTTGCCTCTCCGTATAAACTTTAAAATCAGTTTTTCAATATCCACAAAATAACTCGGTGGGATTTTTATTGGGATTGCATTGAATCTATAGGTCAGGTTGGGAAGAACATAGATGATCATGTCATCTGTGAACAAAGTTTTATTGCTTACTTCCCAATCTATATACCTTTTATTTCCTCTTATTGTCTTATTACATTAGCTAGGACTTCCAATACCATGTTGAAAAGGAGTGATGAGAGAGAACATCCTTGCTTTGTTCCTGATCTTGGTGGGAAAGTGTCTAGTTTATCACCTTTGAGTATAATGTTAGCTGTAGGTTTTTTGTAGATATTCTTTATCAAGTTTAGGAAGTTTCTGTCTATTCCTCGTTTACTGAGAGTTTTTATCATATATGGTGTTGGATCCTGTCAAAGGCTTTTTCTGCATCTATCTATAGGATTGTGTGATTTTTCTTATTTAGCCTGTCGACGTAGTAGATTACATTAGAGTTTTTCATGTTGATCCAACCTTGCGTTCCTGGGATAAATCTCACTTGGTTGTGGTATATAATTCTTTTTATACATTGTTGGATTTGATTTGCTAATATTTTTGAGGTTTTTTTGCTTCTATTTTTATGAGAAGTATTGGTCTGTAGTTTTCTTTTCTTGTAATATCTTTGTCTGATTTTGGTATTAGGGTAGTGCTGGCCTCATAGTATGAGTTAAGAAGTCTTTCTTCTGCTTCCAGTCTCTGAAAGAGATTGTAGAGAGTTGGTATAATTTCTTCCTTAATTCATTGGTAGAATTCACCAGTGAACCCATGTGGGACTGGTGATATCAGTTTTGGAAGATTATTAATTATTGATTCCATTTCTTTAGGAGATATGGGCCTATTCTCCAGTGTATTTTTCATCTCAGAAATTGTAGTTTTTATCTCGAGAAGTTTGATTTCAGTCTTTTGTATATCTTAACTTTTTGAACATATAGAATATAGTTGTAATAACTGTTTTAATGTCCTTTTGTGCTAATTCTAATAACTGTCAGTTCTTGGTTGGTTTTGATTGATTGATTATTCTCTTCATTATGAGTTGTGTTTTCCTGCCTCTTTGCAGTCCTGGTAATCTTTGATTAGATGTCCACTATTGTGAATTTTACCTTGTTAGTTGCTGAGTATCTTTGTATTCTTATAAATTTTCCTAAGCTTTGTTTTGGGATGCAGTTAAGTCACTTTGAGGCTTTGCTTTTACATTTGGTTAGGTGTGTCTGGAGCAGTGCTCAATCTAGGACTAGTTATTGTTCCCACTACCAAAGTAAGATCTTCCTGAAAACTCTTCCAATGCTCTGTGCATTATGAGTTTTTCAGGTCTGACTGTTGGGAACGAGCACTATTCCCTGCTCTCTGTGAACATAGGGCCCTGTTACCCTTTTGGATTGTTCTATCCCTAGCCTCAGGTCATTTCCTCACATTCTTGCACAGTACTCTGCTGTGTATTAGAAGGAGACCCTCTGTAGATCTCTGGGGTTTTCTCTCTGAGCAGCTCTCTTGTCTCTGGTAGTCTCTCTTATGAACTCTAGTTCTCTTTGTGTCCCTAGACTTTCAGCTTCATGTTCTCAACTCAGGGAGTCCACCGGGCTCCGCATGAGCTCTCCTCTCCTGTGCCGCTGCCTAGAAACTTTCAAGGCAATAAGCTTGGGGAAACAAACTTCGTTTCCCATCTGTCAAGGACCACTGTCTTTCATTGCGTGATGTCCAGTGTCTTGAAAACCATTCTTCTTTTTTGTATGTTGTCTGGTTGGTTGGTTGATTTGTTTATTTATTTATTTATTTGGTTGTTTAAGGTGGGAGGGCAAATCCAGTCCCTGTTACTCAATTTTAGCCAAAACCAGAAGTCCTACCTACTTGTAGTTTTAACCTGAGAAAGCTCTTGTACTTGGATTCTTATCAAAAAATTCTTTTGATAGTAACCATTGATTATTTCCATTTTAGAGGCTATGTATATGCACGAGCTGTAGGATGAACTCAAATCAGCCAGCAGGAATTTTTGAGGCTATTCTAGAGGTGTTAAATTGATTTCCTGACTCCCCGTGTCTGGGAATTTCTTGAGTTATTTGGATCTGGAAGCTAATTCCAAATAATGATTTTAGGAAATTCCTAACCATGTCGTGTTTTTATTCTCAGAATTAAGAAAAAGAAAGAGCAGGAACGTTATGCTGAAGAACAGAGGATACTAAGAATGAACCTTCTTAAAGAGCCATATTCAGAGGAGAAGATGAGTGAGATATTAGCCCAGCTACAACTTGAGGAAATAAAAGGAGCTAGAGAAAAACAGCAACAGAGAGAAAAAGAATATCAAAGGTACTTTGAAAAGCTCTGCATGAGGGGCTGGCCCAATGGCATAGTGGTTAAGTTCGTGCACTCCGCTTCAGCGGCCTGGGCTTCACAGGTTTGGATCCCCAGCATGGACCTATGCACCGCTCATCAAGCCATGCTGTGGCAGGCGTCCCACATATAAAATAGAGGAAGATTGGCAACAGATGTTAGCTCAGGGCTAATCTTCCTCACACACACACACAAAAAAGTTCTGCGTGAAATTCTGGCTCTAGACGAGACTTGTTAGGAAGGCAATGTTCTCATTTTCCTTAAAAGAGAGTTGACTGTGTCCTCTCATACGTTTGGGGATACAGAACTTCATGAAATTTCTTGATTGCCTAATACCTCTCTGGAATAGCACTACATTTTTCCCAGTGCTGTTTCCTAGTACGAAGAGGAAGAGTCAAAGCACAAAGATATGAAATAGTTTTAACAGTTAAAACTGGTAGTAAAATAAGGACTTGTGTGCATTCTCTTTCTAGTGGTTCACTTTGCTTGATCATACTATATTTTTCTAGATATTTAGAAGCTTTAAGAGCCCAGATCCAAGAGAAAATGCAGCTGTATAAAATTACTTTACCTCCACTATGCTGCTGTGGTCCTGATTTTTGGGATGCTCATCCTGATACCTGTGCCAACAACTGTATTTTCTATAAAAACCACAGAGGTAAGTTTCTTAAACGAATAGTTGGGGCCTGGAGGCAATAAAAAGAAAAAAAACAATAAAATCAGTGATTGTAGTAACTTAGCATTTATTGAGTGCATACTGTATATCAGAGACTATTATAACCACTTTACAAAACAGCTCTGAGGCAATAAAAATAATTATGGTGAGTTGTATTTCTCTTTGCGATCTGTTATCTTCTTGTCTCCATTTATGCTAGGGAAATATTGCCAACTCACTCTACTGTAGGGAGACTTGGGTTCCAGGTCTTCCAGTAAATGAAGAATATTAGAACTTTCCTTTTATGGCCATCTAACTTAGGCCTCTGTCCAGTTGAATTCCCTGTTTTTCAAATATGTCATTGTTATCTAACATAGACTTATTACCATATATATCCACATTTAGACTACCAGTTCTGCCAGGGATACTGAGGAAAATGAGGACCAGTATAAGCTCTATCAGGAATCCCAGCTAGAGAAAATGGAGTCCTTCCCGTTGTCACTAGTGTGTCTGTTTCCTGTCCATCCTTAACTGTATTGACTTACACAGTGTAGAGATTATGTAGGCTTCATGCACACATACTAGGAATTTGTATTCCTAGTGCCCCATCTGTGTGATATGAGTTTCGTATCAGACCTGTGAGTTATATTTTAAAAACACAAATCTGATCATGCCGTTCTCCTACTTTAAAAGCTGTAGGATTTGCCATTACAGTATAAAATGCATGGCATATTTGGCATATTTTCTCTCTGGCCCCAGGCAACACTCCAGCCTTATCAAACTTGTTATTTTCAGTATATGTCACATTTTTGTATACCTTTTGCATATCACACACTCATTTCTCTGCCTAGAATGCCTTCTTTCCCTTACTCTTATTAATCCTTCAAGACCATCTTAAATGTTACCACTTCTGGAAATCTTTTCCATCCTCTCCTAGATAGTTTTTCATTCATTCCAAACTTCATTCTGTGATGATATTTTGTATATGCCTCTGGTTTGGAAGTATACACTGCAATTGAATTATTTTTGTGTCTATCCTCTCCATTATCTTTTTTGTCCTCCTGGAGTGTTTGGTATGTAGTAAGTACTCAATAAATATTTATTTAATGCGTAGTTGAAGTTAATACCTATGAAACTGGGTGGAGAGGCAGTACTAATAGGAAAGAGGTTTGGAGAGTTGTTTAGAATCTGACTTCATTCATCACTGTGCAAACTTTTATTTGTAGCATATACCCGGGCACTACATTCAGTCATCAGTTCCTGTGATATACCTGAGGGGAACTCAGCTCTTCGAGTCGCCATTCATAATTTTGCTTCTGCACACAGACGGACTTTGAAAAATCTGTAATAAGAATCTGAAGTCAACTGTTAGTATTTGAACCTTCACTTAAAATCAACCCTGAGAGATTATTTAGGAAAAGCTGTTAAAGTGTGTAAAATGTGTAATCTGGAAAGAAAGACTGTCCCACATAAACTGTCTCTATAATTAGATTGTAACAATTGTTTCAGTTCTCTGCCTTGAGACCAAGATTGAAAGTTGACTTCCAAACTTGTTTCTTTGCTCTGAACCATATGGAACCTATTGTTTTAAAAATGATCAGTCAGACCAGTAAGATTTCTCTTACTTTTGCTCTGCTCTGATCAGAAGAGATCATGAGAAATCTTTGAGATTGTCTCATTTATTTTCTTTCTAAAATGTATCTTCGAGTCCTGACAAAATTAAAAATATTTGGATGAAACAGAACAGAAGATGATGAAATGAGTTTTTGAGCATCAGTGGCCATCTGTATTGCTGTTAGCTTTTCTAGTTTTGTATAACAAAAAGAGATGAGAAGAATCTGAATTTGATGCACATTTTTTTTCTCAAAAATTTTCTCTCCTTTTTTGAAATTTATTACCTCTTTCCCCATTCAGTGACATTGTGTAAGTGAGCATAAGTGAGGCCATCTTGTTAGGCTAAATGGCCCCAGCCCCTCCTCTGTGTGACTACTTGCTGTGCTGCACATACTCTAAAAAATTCACATGCTCTCCTGATTTATGGCCTCCGCTCACATATGTACTCCCTAATAGACTGATAAAAATTAAAACTTTGTTCTATGAGTTTCTCTCTAGGAACAGGCTGACCACAGGCAGGAAACACACCTACAAGGTATCCATCACAGCTGACAGAAGAATGGAACAATGTGATGCCTGGAGCCTGTCATGCCTGGAGACAAACATCCCTGGACCCCCTCCTCACTGCCCATTTTCCCTATGTAACTGCCTCAAGACTCTGTAATCCCTGAAAATGGGTTTTTTGAGACATTAGTCACCTGTCTTCCGATTTGCCAGCTAATCTAATCTAATTAAACTTTCTTTCTCGATCTCTAACTCATTATGATTAATTGGCTCACATTGTGGTGAGCAGAGCAAGCCCATTGCTCAGTAACAATTGTACATAGGACTTTTTAATTTTATAATTTTTATTGCAAAAACATATGAATAAACCCTCTGTCTTTTGAGCATCTTCTATGTGAAATAATTGTAAATGACATTTCAAAAAGTGAATCTGAAGTCAAAGTGAGTCAAGTCCTGCCTTATTTTCCTGTCTTTTAAAAATCTGGTGAAGGGCATACCTACAGGGAAGATGAAGTAAAAATTGCTACACTTAGTATGAATTTGCTGTTTCTTCACAGTATTTCCTGACACAAAATATGCAAAGGTTTAATATTGTGAATTAAAGACAGATACTGACAGTTTCTTTTTCCTACTTTCTCTAATGATCAGTGTTGAGGAAGCACCTAGGTTATGTCTCAGAAAATACCTAAACATCTAGCCAGGTCATTGAAAATAAGAGTCAAAATTACCTGTATGACAAGATTGACCAGATTAATTATCCAGTTCAGTCAATATCCTTAAGTAACTATATTCTTGATTCATCCTTTAAGAGTCGTATTTTTTTAACAGCTTTATTGAGGTATAATTCACATACCATATGATTTACTCATTTGAAATGTACACATCAATGGTTTTTAGTATATTCTAGGGTCGTGCAACCATCACCACTATCAAATTTTAAAACACTTTTGTCACTCTCTTTTAAAGATACACCTCCATGATCTCGCAATCCCACTTCTGAGTATATATCCAAAATAATTGAAAGCAAGATCTTGAACAGATATTTGCACATGCGTGTTTATAGCAGCATTATTCACAAAAGCCAAGAGATGGAAGCAACCCAAGTGTCCATCAACAGATGAATAGATGAACAAAATGTGGTGTATACATACAGTACAATATTATTTAGCCTTAAAAAGGAAAGAAATCCTGTCACATGCTATAATATGGATGAGCCTTAAGGACATTATGCTAAGTGAAGTAAACCAGTGACAAAAAGACAAATACTGTGTGATTCCACTCATGAGGAACTGAGAGCAGTCAAATTCATAGAGACGAAGTAGAATAGTGGTTGCCAGGGTCTGGGGAGAGAGAAAATGGGAAGTTGTTTAATGGGTAGAGTTTCAGTTTTGCAAGATGAAAAGATTCTGGAAATCTGTTTTACAACAATGTGAATATACTTAACATTACTGAACTGTACACTTAAAAATGGTTACAATGGTAAATTTTAGATTATGTGGGGTTTTTTTACCACAATTAAAAATTTTAAAATTTAAAAAAGAAAGATCCCATACCCATTAGCAGTCACCTTCCATTCTCTCCTCTCTCAGTCCTAGGCAGTCATCAGCCTTCTTTATGTCTCTATAGATTTGCCCATTCTGAACTTTTCATATAAATGGAATCATACAACATATGGTCTTTTGTGACCGGAGTCTTTCATTTAGTATAATGTTTTTAAGATTTATCCTTGTTGTAACATGTATCAGTACTTCATTGCTTTTTATTGCTAAATAATATTCCTCTGTATGGATATACCACATTTTATTTACCCACTCATCAGTTGATGAAGATTTGGGCTGTTTCTACTAATTGGCTATTATGAATAATGCTGCTATGAACATTTGTTTACAAGATTTTCTGTGGAAGTGTTTTCATTTCTCTTGGGTACATACCCAGGAGTGGATTTGCTGAGTCATATGGTCTATGTTGAACTGTTTGAGGAACTGAAAGCTACTTTCCAAAGTGGCTGCAGCATTTTACATTCCCAGCAGTGGTGTATAAGTGGTGTATAAGATTTCTTCACATCGTCCAACACATCATTGTCTGTCTTTGATTATAACCATGCTACTGAGTGTGAAGTGGTATCTCATTGTGGTTTTAATGTGAATTTTCTTGATGACTAGTGATGTTAAGCATCATTTCATGTGCTTATAAGCCATTTATATATTTTATTTAGAGAACTATCTTTTCAGATCCTTTGCCCATTTTGTAATTGAGTTATTTATCTTTTGATTATTGAGTTATGCGAGTTGTTAATATTTTCTACAAACAGGTCTGTCATCTGACGTGATTTGCAAATATTGTCTTTTCATTTTCAATTTATTTTTTATTTTATTTTTTGAGAAAGATTGGCCGTGCCCTAACATCTGTTGCCAGTCTTCCTCTCTTTCTTTTTTCTCCCCAAAGCCCCAGTACATAGTTGTGTATCATGGTTGTAGAGTTGTAGCTTTTCTATGTGGGACGCTGCCTCAGCATGGCCTGATGAGTGGTGAGTAGGTCCATGCCCAGGATCCGAACCAGCAAACCTCGGGCCCCCGAAGCGGAGCAGACGAACTTAACTGCTATGTCACTGGGCCCGGCCCCTGTCTTTTCTCTTTCTTGATGGTTTCCTTTGCAACGCAAAAGTTTTAAATTTTGATGAAGTGCAATTCATCTACTTTTTCTTTTGTTGCTTCAACCAGTACCTATTCCAAGGTCACAAAGATTTACTCCTAAAACTCTTCTAAGAGTTTTATAGTTTTAGCTCTTACATTTAGATCTATGATCTATTTTGAGTTAATTTTTGTGTATGGTGTTAGATAGGGGTCCAACTTCATTCTTTTGCATGAGGATATCCAGTTGTCCCAACAACATTATTTCAAAAAATTATTTGCCCTATTGAATTGATGTGACACTCATATCGAAAATCAGTGGACCATTAATGTAGGGGCTTATTTCTGAACTCTCAATTCTGTTCCATTAATCTATATCTTTATCCTATACCAGTACAATCTGTCTTGATTACAGCTTCGTAGTAAGTTATGAAATTGGGAAGTGTAAGTCATTTAACTTTGTTCTTCTTTTTCAAGATTGTTTTGCTATTGTGAGTCCCTTGCATTCTTCATATGAATTTGAAGATCACCTTCCTGCAAAAAAGCCAGCTGAGATTTTGATAGGGATGCATTGAATCTATAGATCAATTTGGGAGCTTTTGCCATCTGATCCCTGAACATGGAATGTTTTTCCATTCATTTAAGTCTTCTTTAATTTCTTTTGACAGTATTTTGTAGTTTTCAGAGCATAAAATTTGTACTTCTTTTGTTAAATTTATTCTGAATTGTTTTATTCATGTGTGTGTGAGAGAGAGAGAGAGAGAAAGATTGGCCCTGAGCTAATATCTGTTGCCAATCTTCCTCTTTTTGCTTGAGGCAGATTTGCCCTGAGCTAACATCTGTGCTAATCTTCCTCTATTTTGTATGTGGGTTGCTGCCACAGCATGGCTGATACATGGTATAGGTCCGTACCTGGGATCTGAACCCCCGAACCTGGGCTGCTGATGTGGAGCGTGCAGAACTTAACCACTAGGCCACAGGGCCAGCCCCTTATTCTTTTTGATGCTATTTTAAATGGAATTGTTTTCTTATTTTCAGATTGTTCATCACAAGTGTATGGAAATGCAATTGATTTTTGTGTATTGATCTTGTATCCTACAACCTTCCTGAACTCATTTTTTACTTCTAATAGTTTTTTAGGGGTTCCTTAGGATTTTTTACTTATAAGATCTCATTTGCCAATAGAGATAGTTTTACTTCTTCCTTTCCGTTCTGGATTCTTTTATTTCTTTTTCTTGCCTGATTGCCCTGCGTAGAACATGCAGTACAGTATGAATGGGAATGATGAAAGTGGACATCCTTGTCTCATTCATGACAAGAGGGAAAGCGTTTAAGTCTTTCACCATTATGTGTGATGTTAGCTGTGGGTTTTTCCTGGATGACCTTTATTAGTTTGAGGAAGTTCTCTTGTATTGCTAGTTTGTTGAGTGTTTTTAAGTGAAAAGGTGTTGGATTTTGTCAAATTCTTTTTCTGCATATAATAAGATTATCACGTGCTTTTTGTCTTTTTTTCTGTTAATAAGATGTATCACTTTAATTGATTTATTTTCAGCTGTTAAACCAACCTTTTCTTCCTAGGATAAGTTGTATTGGTTTTTATTTGTTTATTTGTTTCTTTTTTTTTTTTAAAGATTTTATTTATTTTATTTTTTCCCCCCAAAGCCACAGTAGTTAGTTGTATGTCATAGCTGCACATTCTTCTAGTTGCTGTATGTGGGATGCGGCCTCAGCATGGCCGGAGAAGTGGTGCGTCGGTGTGCGCCCGGGATCCGAACCCGGGCCGCCAGCAGCAGAGCGCAAGCACTTAACCACCAAGCCACGGGGCCGGCCCTGTTTATTTGTTTCTTTGGTATTGTACAACAAGTTTTTGGCTTGTTTTGTTCTATTTTTTTTAGTTTGGTTATCTGAAATAGGTGAACTGACTTGTCTGACAAGTTAGTAGTAGAATGATGATGGGATTAGATCTTGCATAGGATTAGGGAACTTTCAAGTTTTCTTCCTCTAGGTTCAGTCTGTGAATATAAATCTCACCTGAAAAAGGGTATGTTTTTGCATTGTAATTTGGTCATATGTAGACAGTGTCTAATGATTTATTTTTGTGGGGTTAGGGAATGCTGGAATAGCTAGCAGCTACCAA